TCAAAAATGAAACCTGTGCTTAATGATAATTAAGGAACTTAGAAGTCAAAGAAAATGATTTACGTTGTTTAATTTTAGACACTAAGTTATGAACGCAAATGCAATTGGTGCTTTACAGCCATTGTGAATTACTGAGCTCCGCGTTTCCTCCCTCTCGGTGCCACCTCCCCCTCTGACACTGCGGAGTGGGCGGCATGCTGTTTTCAGAGCCTCTGATTGGGGAAACAAGACTTATCATTGAAAAGCACAAGAGAATATTCCTGTGAGCATAGTCAAGTCAATCATACAGAAATGGAAGGAGCATCATACCACACAGACAGTGCCTGGATCAGGCTGTCCCTACAAACTGAGCAACAAGACAAGGAGGAGGCCAAAGACAACTTTAAAAGAGATAAAGAGTTCAATGTATGAGATGAGAAAAAAATGTGCATTAGTTAATGACATGCAGAACACTTCACAAAACTAGCCTATATGGCAAAGGGGGAAGCCATAACTTATGGTGGCAGCATCATGCTGTGCAGATGATTCTGGAAAGCTAGTTAGGATAAACTAACTTAATACTACAGCAAAATGTGCTACAGTCTGCTTAACACTTAAAACTGGGGTTAAAAGTCTCCTTTCAGCAGGACAATGATCCAAAGCAGAGGGCAAAAGCTACACTGAAGTGGATAGAGAATAAGAAAGAGAATGTCCATAAGTGGCCCAGTCAAAGTCCTGACTTAAATTCTATTGAGGATCTGTGGAAAGATTTGAAAGCTGCTAACTATAGGCAATTCCCAAGCACCTTGAGTGAGCTTGAGGACAACTGCAAAGAAGAATGGGCAAACTTGTACCATGCCAGTGTGTTAAGTTGGTAGAGACTTAACGAAAAAGACTTGTAACTGTTATCGCTCCCAAAACAGCTTCTACCAAATATAGTTTACTTTCCTGAATACTGCATTCATTCAACATTTTTATTTTTTTTCTCTCATAGATTTTGCTGATATGTACTGTAACCTATCTTACACTTAGAGGTCTTCCGATTGAGCATGCAGGTTTTGAAGTTAAAAAATGTGAATACATTACTTTGTAAATTCATGAATTGGAACATCATGGGAAGGGGCTGAATACATTTGCAAGGCAGTGTGTTTCTGAATAAAAAAGCAAGACATAAACAAAAAACATCATATAAACAAGACAAAAGTGAGATTTGATGCCAATAAATATAGGGACAGTATCTTATCTTGTAAAGCAGCTTATAGCCATTCTGTTAATGGACTTGTTGATTTATTCAGCTTAGCTTTTGTTGAATACAAGATGACAAAAACTGACATTTAACTTGTTTATTTAATGGAGTTATCAAGGTTGTATATTGGCTTTAACTTTATATATTATATATAGAGTTAAAAAACATCCTGTAGGATATAAGAATGAATGATGGGGTGTGACTAAACCATCTGGCAGTCAGTCCAGGGGTGGTCACAGAAGTCATAAAAATAGACCATGCACAAAAATAAAGAACAAAAAGGTGTCTGTTTACTGAAGTGTAAAAAGAAAAGTGAGACAAGGCAAAGCATTCAACAAAAACAACAAATTGCACTTTCTCCAGGGAATTCCCTACAGACAGTTTTAAGAATATCAAGCTTATAATAAACCAAGCTGTGTTACAGCACCCAGAAAAGGTTATATTGCAAATTCAAGACAAACTGCTACTCCATAAGTATCAGGTTATGACACTAAACAAAGCTCCACCCCGGCTCCTCTTGAAAGTCCATTTAAAGGTCCATTTGGGGCAGAGCGGTGGCTCTGTGGCTAAGGATCTACACCTATGGCTGGAAGGTTGTTGGTTCAAATCCCACAGCCGGCAGAAGAATCCTACTCTATTAGGCTCCTGAGCAAGGCCCTTAACCCTAACTGCTCCAAAACTGCCATCCAATGGCAGACCCTGTGCTCTGACTCCAGGCTCTCTCCCTGTCTGTGTCTCATGGAGAGCAAGACGGGGTATGCAAAACCATAATCCTTAATGCAATAAATTGTGAAAGGTTAAAGTGATGTTATTTATTATTAAAACAGAGGTGAGTCACAGTCTGTAATCTGACACAAAATATTGGAAAATGACAGGAAAAATGAACAACACCATGTTTCTACAACACATAAGAAACAAATACAAATAACAGTGATGGCCAAAATGCAAATCAAATTAAAAATGCTTATTTACCATACAAATAAATAAAATATTAATATAAAGACGTAATATCCTTACTTGTTCTTCCTTCAACATATTTTTTGGGATGGCAACCATTATGAAACAGGTTTTTTAAAGGGTGTCTTTAAAGCAGACGTGCCTCAGAGTCAGGAGAAGCTCTTAAATTGGACCAGTCCAGCTAACTAGCAGGTATATCCCATTATGAGTTCAATTAAAACAAAAGCCCAGACCCTGTATGCCCCGACTTGAAATGAGCACCTTTGATATACAGTAAAGGAAAATTGTATTCCTAAGGCGCACCATGTTCTACGCAAAATAGAGGCCACTGTTATCCCACTTACTCCTGACAGAAATGATTACAGCATGAATAAGCACCATGTTTTTTAAAATGAATTAATGAAAGGATTAAAGAAGTGGCTCATATTGAATTGAATTCCAGCTTTGTCTGAAGACTGACAATGCTCTGCTAAATTAGCCCTCTATATATTCCTTTTATCTTTTGCCAAAAGAGAGGTTCACAGATGTACACATCCATGCACTACAAAAGTTGCTTGGTTTATGACTGCTAAATGAATAATTTTATTTGGCAAACAAATATAACAATTTCAATACAGTACTGCAGTTCATAGATGTAATTGTGTTCCTTGCATAGTGATATTGCATTATACAGTATATATATATATCATAGGAGTGTGTGAGCTGGGTTTCCTTTGTCACCAAGTCTTTTTAGCAGAAGATCTAAAAATGGATTGTTTACAGACTGATGTACTTGTCTGGAATCTGCCTTTTCCCATGAATAACTAGGCCACGATCCAGTTTAACAAGTACCCTAACAGGCTGCAGAAAAGAAACTGAGCTCTCAAGAATTTTAAAACTCTTGGCTATTTGTAGTAGACACTGAAGCTATGGGATTCAGGACTTTTACTTATTAGCATCACGGCAAAAGGTCCAGGAACTTCACAACAAATATTATTTGCATGCACTGTATGCTACTTTTCAGAAAATGATTGTATATGTGTTATAAATATGTCCACTTTGGAAAAAATATAGAGGGGTCCATAGTAAATGTAAATATAACCGGACTAATTTTGAAATACTGACAAAATAAGAAACAATTTGCAATTATTCGTGATGTAATTAATTTGCAGTTCCCATAGCATGTGCAATAAATTGACAAATTTAATTAAATGCACATTAATCACAATTTATAAAAGGTTTAGTTGGGCAGCAAAGACTTCCGAGCTAATCAGTGACTTCTTTTAAGTACCTTTCGGTCATTATTGGATTACTTTCGCAATTCTTAAAATACTGTGTCCGATACAACTTAGTGAACCCCTAGCTTGAACCACCTTCTTATCCAATAGGTAAGGCTTAAAGCTTGTTAGCTTTTAAACGGTTAAATTAAAACAGCTATATACATTAAAACAGCTATATCCACTGTTTTAATTCCAGTTTGAAAAATCGAACTCGGTTCAGGTCACGGGGCTCTGTAAATTTATACTGAAGATTGAAGTTGTGAAACAGCACCACATGGCAACAGCGTGGTATAGAATTTTTCGACTTGCATGCGTGACGTATACGCTTAAACAGAATAAAACTATCCGGAGACTGAAACATGTTGCTTGAAAGGTCTGGGAGTTTCACTCGGGAACGTATATCATATCATCTACCTTGTGCTTTCTCAAGCTCAATGCTCGCGTGGATCACTAGAAAACCTAACTACTAATTGCACTTCAGTTTTCCCTGTACAATAGATTTAAGCAGCTGCTTCTATGGATATTTTTGTTTTCCTTAACTAAACCTCTAAATTTGCAACTTCTGCTGAGAGCTTCCTAGTAGCCAGACTAAAAAATAAACCACATACTGTACATCATGTCTCTTTATATTTTCTTCCTTTTGTGCACATTTTCTTCGACCACTTGTGAAAGTACAGACCAGAAGCGTCACCAAACGGCACCAAATTCTTTTTTAGACATTGCTTTTCTCTTCTACTTTTCCCGAGGCATAAAAGCTTTATGTAGCCCTCGTGAAGGTTAACGTAAAGGGCAAATGCGGTATGAAACTGCATTGAATGCATCAATAAATATACGCGTAAATAAATAATTTAATCTCTTGGCGTGTCTTGCAGAAATCGATGTCTGTGACCAAGTTAATATATGCAAGTGCCATGGTCAACGATTTAATGATTCCTGTTAGAGTGCGTTTAGTACTTTAATGTAACATCGATATTCTATGAATAAAGCATTTCAATAGCCCTCCCCCGCAATTCCAAGATCTCCCAAAACGTCGAAAAGGTAAAGCATTAAACAAACAGAATCTGAGGCATTCGCTGACACTACCAACACAGTTCCGCTACATTGGGAACGTTTTACATAACAAGAAGTACTGTTTTTTTATTTTCCCGCGTAAAGCTGAAATGGCATAAAATAACAGGCAGGTATCAACTCGTATCAAAGCCTGTAATACTCAAGTGTTAGGTTGCTAAAAAACAAATCAGTTTAAACCCTGAAAAATGCAAACGTGAACTCTAGTTACTAGCTAGAATTCATGTTCAATATCTGGAGGCACAATTATTATTATTATTATTATTATTATTATTCAGGAGCACTTTAACCTAAGGTAAGGTATTCTTCCATACACAGAATTCCGTTAACAACCGAAAACAGCTACCACATACATGAAAAAGTCCGTCATTCCCCGAAACCCACACTCACTCAACACGAAGGCATAAACCGATTTTAAAACCATGATTCCAATACCTGTGTCTTATACAGTATTGAGAAATAAAAGCAAACGAAATGGAAGCACAATTTACCTGAAGAAGTAGCAGAAATATGGGCATCCTAGCAGCGGACACTGGCAATAAATGCCGGACTTGGGAAGGCGTACAGTACTTCAGGTGCTCGTGATCCTTTTCCGCGGAGCTATAACCTGGCACAGTTCAGCCTTGTCAATGGAGAGGTTGAGCCTCACGACTTTCAAAACCATCAGGCACCTGGTTTTAATGCGAAGTTGTGGTTGTCTGGCTGTCTCATCGACGCCGGCGTTCAACATTAATGACTTGCCCGCTTACCCCCACCTTCCTTAAAAAAACAAGTTAAAAAAACTCTAAGAAATGTAATACCTAGGTGCTACAAAAATCAAGCAGAAGCTTAAGACGACGTTTGAGAATGCGAGTGCTTGAAAGCCGTCTCCGCCGTATCTTTCAAGAAATTTTGAATAACCTACAGTACATGTGTTACGTTTGCAATACACGGTGTAAACGCATAGCAGCCTTATGTACTTTCCCTGCCTCTTTTGTTAACGAAAAATGATAAAAGCTATCAACCTACTTATTGCGCTTGAGCACAGTACTGAAACATACAGGAGGACATTCTGAAAAGAAAAGGCACAATTTCCCTTCCTTCAGTGTGACAGCTTTCGCCTGCCCAAGACAGTCGGCCAATAACATTCACACTGCTTTCCGATTTGGTGGCTTTAGGAAAAAATATCGCGTTCCTTTCTGGATTTGTTTTCTTTTAATCTTCATTAACACACAAAAAAAACTCCTTTTCTGAATTCGAACGATTTTTTTTCCAGTACCGAGTAACTTGTTCTACGTATGTCTCTAAAGACCTGCTGCAAGACAATTACGACATCTTACATACATCTGTTGTACTTAAGACTGCTTTATAGATTATAGCAGCCCAGACTTTTGGTCTCATTTGGAATGTGTAAATAAAGGTCACACGACTATCGTGAGCTGCCTGAAAATACATGAATGGAGAAGATGTCTGATTTATCGTAATCGACACGATCACCATCATGGAGGTTCCTCACAAGATGGTATAGTACGTAATGTTAAATACAGTACATAACAATGCATATATCATTAGACCGATGTCTCTAAAGATAGTTATTCAGGGCTCGAGATTTTGTAATAGCCCAATGCCCATAACTTCAGTCTTTATATTTTATTAAAAGAACTGACTAGACCGTGGCTAAACAAAATACTGTAAGTTGCCATAGAAATGACACAAAACTGAATTCAGAATTTCAGATTTCTGATATTTCTCCAAGTTAATTTCGAACCGACATAAAGCAGACTAGTGTGCATGTATACTTATTTATCAAAAGCTAGCGACATCAAACACTATAACATATACCAGTATGCACGTCTTACCTGAATACCATATCATTATACACAGCGAAGCTTTACAATCTAACAAATGTTATTGGTGCCAACACTTTACGTTTACGTTAAAAAAACGTTTAATTTCACTAAAACTCCATCTAAAAACACAACTGTAAAACACAACTATTACAACGATGTTCCATTTAAGGTCTGTGAATAAAGAATAAGTATTCTTTAAAGAGAAACAAATATTTCAAAGTTTCCTCCGTCTGCAGTGAAAAGCAACGCGTGGTGGAGCCGGTCTATACCGACAAGCAACTGGCGCAAGGCGGGGTACACACTTGAGGGGACGCCAGTCCATCGCAGGGCACAGACAGACACAAACACTGGCATGCACATACTCGTAACCGGGCCAATTTCCTAGAAGCCACATAACCTAATTGTCTCTGGACAAGTGGGAGAAAACCGGAGCACCCAATGAAAAGCCAAGAGAACACGGAGACCAGACAAACTCCACGCAGATAGCAAAGCTAACCACAGCGCCACCTGTGAACAGAAATTATTTCTATAAATTGCTGTTTTGATTTTGTGGTGAAATAGTTATGTTTGAGATAAAATATCAGCTACAATTTCTGCCAATGTATTCTACATGTTGTAGTGGTAACCTAGATCATTTGAATAGTACAAGAAAAAAAGTTATTTATATAAACATATTTTGCATATTTATTTCTTCAGGCAGTCTTGATAAAATAATTATTTTCTTCAAAATTAAAGCTTCAAAACTTAATCTTTATGGCGAGGACTTTATGCGTTTGCTGTGTATGGCAGAAATCTGCATCTGTGACAGAAGCTTGGTGGCTTTTTATTGTATTTGTATTTTATGTTGCTTTCTCCAACACTTTGGCTTCTGTATACCCATGAACTTTCATGCAGAGTAATTAATTTATCGAGGTGAACTGCAGATGTCCCTATTTACTGTACATTCTTCATATGATTGTCTCCAAATCAGCATAATTCCATTTCAGCCAACCACACACTATTTTTTTTTTTCAAAAGAACAGTGAGAGTTCGGGGAGGTTTTTTATACCATAGCTAATCATTTTGTCTTGACAGCATCTTTCTAGCGATCCAATAACTGAATCCCTTCATGTCATAAGATTTTCTAAATAAGAGAGTATGAACATAAGAAAGACTGCATAAGACAGGAGGACATTTAGCTGCTTTTGTTAGTATCTGAATGATTTCAAGAACTTATCCAGGAGTTTTTTGAAGAATCATAAGAAATCGTCTTCAAAATGTAGTTGAACATCTTTTTTCAGACCCTTCAATCAATATTTTTCATTGAGCATTTCTCTATTACTGCTTGAATATTATTTTGAATGTCTGTCATGAAATCTGTTTTTCATAATCTTTATAAGTTGTCTGAATGTGTATTGGATTGAAATAAGCCATTCTTATTGACATTGAGAAAATGTACATAAGTACATAAGTGTACATAAGTACATTTGCAAAGAACAATTCTTATAGGGATTTATAAATAAAATCTTTCCTTCTATTTAACATATATAAAGCTGTTAAAACCTAAATTAAAAAAAAATATTGGAATATATTTAGTTTACTGTAAGTGCAGTTATCATTGTATTAGTTAATGCAGTAACTATACCAGTTAAGGTAGTAGTAGTAGTGCTTGGCATATACTGTATACCATAATCCAAAACAACTAAAGTTATTGCTGTCAAAATACAATACTATTGACATACTAACAATATGTCTCTCACAGTAGTGTGGTACCTTACATGGTGAAAAAGAGCAGTTTACATTGAACTCTATAGCATTTAAAAGTAAACTCCACCCTACTTCCCACTTGCTGATAAATATTTAAAGGTTGCTATTTATGAAATAGTTAATCCAGAAAACACATTGTCTAGGTTGCATTATTTCAGATTGAAAATTAAGTATGCCAGCATAAGGAAGGCCTCCTGATACATTTTACAAATGGCAGATTTACCTACTAAAATAACATCTCACTAAAATGGAAAATCAGTTCAATCAGTTATAGTCATAATTTCAATATAATATGGGTACTACCTTTCTATCGATAGATATTCGCAGTATCACTTAATTCTAGCCACATAAAATATGATTTGTAATGAAAGGTTCAAAACACATTACAATAAAGAGATTTTTTCTAGCAATCCAACTATTGAATCTCTTATTTTTCTTCTGTATTCTGAAAGAAGCAACTAGATTTTAATCCATTCACAACTGCATTTTTATTGAGAACCTTTTTAAGACATCAGTTGAGGATAATCCCACAACGTACAACTGAGTTCATGTCCAGTGATGGAAAAACAAAGAACAGTTGTGTGACTTTTCTCCAAATACTTCAGTTGCACTGGTATCATCATAAACTATGAAATGCTGTCACATTGAAGAGCTGTCTTTACAAACTGGACATTAGTTAGATGTAGTTCATGTAGGTATCTGCATCAGCATGCATGGGCTACGAAGGAACAAGTAAAAGGTTTATTACATGTTGAAAAGAGAAGAAAGGAAACACACCCAAAGAAGTGTGTGACACCCGAAGAAGGCTCCACAGGCAAAACGTTGTGTTTCCTTCCTTGTCTTTTCAGCATTAGTTAGAAGTGTTTAATTAAAAATGAAGATACATTTTATCCTGCCTGCAAGGGACATATTTTCATATATTTATTAGCTCATTCATTATTGTTCTGTAATTATAATTAATAATGTGAGATAAAATGCTAACATTTAGTCTTTATCTTGATATCGTTTTAAATACGATACATTATATTTATTGTATTTAAGGTTAATATGTATATTTAAGGTTAATTTAAAACATATCAGGACACAAATAAATAAAAAGGAAAAAGCATAATACCACAGTATTTTTAGTCAGTGCAATAAAAAAACATACAGTATGTTCAGCAAAACCACAAGGTTCATTGCAATATCTGAAAACTAGTCCAAGAGATTCTTTTCTCCATGCATGATATATTTTTTCAAAAATTCATTTTTTCCATTTAAGTTTTGTTTAATTAACAATATTTAATGGTGTTGTTTTTTAATAATTGGGAATACTTTGCATCTCTGATGTGAAAATGACCAGCTAAGAAAGCTACCAAACCTGCTCCATTATCTGCTTGCTGTTCAATACTTTGTTAATACCTTTTGAAATTGTTTCAGCGGTTATGTTTTGTTCCCCATCATTGCCCTAACGTGGTGGCATCCTAAGGGAGTGGATGGAATTTAGTTTATTTTCTGCTTCCTGTGAACTTCATGGGAACCAAGTATTTTGTTATTTTTAAGTGCTATGCAGTAAATTGGAAGCAAAATGTCCCACAATGGTCTTGCTATTGTTCCCAATTTCATTGAATAATAAAACACCTGCATCTGCTCAAAATGGGATATCACAGGAAAGATCAAACTCTTTAAGTTAATTTGACAATAACAGCAAATGGACGTCAAAGGGTATTTTTTCCCACACAAACCCTTATAACAAAACAACCACAGCAGCAGAAACTCATTGGTGTCTGTAGGTAACCGCAAAACAATTCATTCCTGTGGCCACCTTCATTTCCTTTGCAGGTCAAGCAAGCAATATTAATTCAGACTATCTATTTGATTTATTATTATTTTCACTTTCCACCTACAGCGTCGAAAGGAAGCTACAGCATCACCCACAGTGGTGACTAATATTCTCCACAGAAAGAAAATATACAATAGGTCTGAAACTCTTCAGGTTTCCTCTACGATTCGACATGTTTGAACAGTAAGTATACATGTTTATCATGTAAAAAGCAGAGCTTACAGTTATACAAGATCAGATGGTGACTTCTGTTTACTTATTTAGTAGCAAAAGTTAGTTAAAATATTGAAAAAAAACAAACAAACCAAATAAACATTTGAATCTATATGCCTTTAGAAGACATAATTGAAATCCTTCAAGATACAGCACTCCTGTGCTTTTTATATCTTAACATATAGAAATATAAAGTTAGCTTACTTTTAATTAATAAAATTGTTATGTCATACGTGACAATGATGCACCTTCATTCTGTTCATGATAAAGTAATTTTATTTGCCAATAAATAACTTTGCATACAAAAGAAGAATGCAGGTAAATTTGAGTACTTAGCAAGAGACCAACACGGTAAACATGTAAATACGTACTATTGTGTCTCTTGCTCCCAGCTGAATTTTAATTCATATTGATTTTCTTGGCATTACAATCTCCTCTATGCCCGAATGTTTTTGTCGTTATAGAGAGCTCAAACCACCCACGATATCTAGAGATGTGTACTGTACCTGTTACATGCACGAAATTGTAATTTTTGTTCAATTAAATATCAAACAGATATCAGCTTTTTTACGGGTCATTTGTATTTGGATTTGAAAAGTATAGTCAACAATTATGCATTTTAGAATATTAAAAACATTAAATGAAAACGGTAAAAAAAGCAAAACCCACGCATAGTTTGCAAAT